ACCACCTTGGTCAGGGGTGAGGCAGAAGCAAACCAATGGTCCTGAATGATGAGAATCAAAGTCCCAAACATGGGGAGATCTACTTCCTGGCCATGCCCAATTTAGATTATAAAGGCAAGCAATCAGAAACTTATGGCTATCTAAAGGTCTTGGCAACAGCTCCCATCACCTCTTTCTATTGGTTCTGATGGAAATTGAAAGCCAAAACATTTGGGATTCAACAAGTTGTCCTCTCCTGATACAGGCAGATCCACCTGTCACTTGTTTCCTGTTGCATTTGCACTGGTGATGTTTTGTGCCTTTTCTTTCTGGATGCATACTGAACTACTAGGCTTCCTTCTACATTTTTGATCTATGTCATACAATATTAATTTGCTACCAACAAAATTCTAAGGCTTGGATCTTTTTCTGTGATATGATCATTATGCAGCACATGGTATTTATAAATCATCAGGAGAACAAACAATATTTGTGCTATGTAAAAAAATCCACATCTTTGGCAATTATTATGGTAGAAAATAAACTGCTTTCAAAAACAAATTCAAAGTTGCTGTGAATTGTCATGATTTTGGTTCAGGGTTCTTGAGCTTACCCTGCCAATGAGAAGGCTAAGAAGAATGCATGAATTGTCCTTTCATTGTACAAGCATCTCTGTGGCAACCTGCAGCCTCCTTGGCTTCCTAAACTCCCCACCCAGGAAAAGAGATCATGAGGCAATTCCTCCTGTAGGATTCTTTTGGATCAGGAAGTACAGGTAGCCTGGGACTCTGCAGAACAATGGGGGCACATGAATTAGAAAGACATGTGCATGGGCGCACGCACACAACACACAGTGTCTTCAAAATGATTGGGCAAGATCAAAAGCAACACTGAAATGAATGCAAAATAAATTATAAAATGCCCTGAGAATGAGTCAGAAGATCAGAGTACTCCTTCATGGGGGCAGATGCCTGTTTTGTCAGATTTATGGCATGGGGGTACTTGCTTCTTTTCCCTTGAGCTCTATACAACACAGCTCCCACATAGCCCTGCTAGAGAGTTTGCAGAACAGCCATGATATTCTCTGTACCTGCATTTAAGTCATAGTCTCTATTCATAATCATTCCTCCGAAATGAAATGCTTGGGAGATCCTGAAAAGGAGCTGTGCCTTTAAGGACAACTACAGCTGAAGTATTATGTATCAGAAGACATTTTTTCCTCATAAAACCCTTAAGAATACAATTGATGCTATTGCTACTTGCAGTGGCACTGCAAACAATGCACACTTAGAGAAAGAGGCTGTCCTACAATCCTTTTGGATGGTCAAAAACTCTCTGTGAGAAACTGTTGCTCAATTTCTCTCTCCCCACCTGAGAAATTTGGAGAAATGGTTGTCTCAATTGCATTGCACACAAATGAGGCAGATAATTTCAGGAGACTATTTGTTTGCAATTCTAGTCAATTTCATGTTTGCTGCAGCAAGGCATGGAATGAACATCTGGATTACAGTCGCTCTGAGACACCTGTGCAGACAGCAGATAAACTAAATGTCTTATGCTGTTATTTAGCAAAGGAAGAACAAACTGTCTCCTTTCTCCAAAGAGGCAGGTCTAGCTAAGTGCTGCCAAGCAAAACAGACAGGAACAAGACTAATCGGGAAACAAGCATTGTGTGACAGCATATATAAAAGGCAAGACTGAACAGCATTCAAGGGTCTCCAGCTAAGAAACCAACAGTTGTCTTCCTTTCCCTTTAATATGTGTAGGGCAGAGGCAAATTGTCCTTGAGCACCGACTCATTTGGTTCTCTGTCCTCATACTTCTCTGCATTTCAAAGAACTCTGGATGAGTGGAATTCCTCACTTACTACTAGATGTACAATGGAAGGTAATAGTAAATGTGTCTCTTAGAATTGAGAGAAGACTGGTGATTGGAGGGGGAGGAGGTAAAAAAACAATGGATAAAATGGGACTCTTTCAGGAATCTATTAGCAGAAGATTTCAAATTGTTAAGTGGATCTAGCTGCGTTTATGTTGGTCAGGATCAGGGCCTGAGGGACCCTGCAAGTACCTGCAGAACCAGGAACACCTGTGCAGGTGCTTGCAGGGAACAGCTGAGAAGCAATTATGTAGTGCAGCTGTAGGCCCTGAAGACCAACACAAAAGGCTCTCCTACACAGCTGCTCTTTGCACAGCAAGATGTGCTGTTCTGCTGGCTACCTTGTGCTTTGGCTTTTTTCAAGGGATCTTGTTCCTGCCTGCCCACATACTCCTTGCCCAGCTCCAGCTTGTTTCTGCTTCTGTCCTTGTCTCTAGCCTGATCAGACCTGACCAGGTACCCATCCTCCCTAACCTCACCTTGCTCTCAAATGTGACTGTCTTTCTGGAACTTGGCTTTTGGACTGTGCTTGCTTGGATCTATTGCTTCCCTGGCTTTGATTCTGGACTGCTAAACAAATTGTCTCTTGCTTCTGGTCATCTGTCCCTGCTGCAGGACTCCACCTTGCACCTGTACCCTGCTTCTGACATTCCAACCATAGTTGCCTGCTGCCCATACCCTGAGCCTAATAGTGTTGTTTGTTGCCTGAGGATGTGTAAAAACATGTTGATAGCATTTTTTGGCGGGGGCAAAAGTGCAAAGGTGAATCTGTTCAAAGCACAGCTAGTTCTAGAAAGACCTCAGAGGCATGAGGCTTTGTGGCCAAGAGGCATGAGAACAAAATCACCTCAGCAATTTTTCCAGTATGGCCAAGAAGGACATCATAATATCGCCCTTTTTCAGGACTGTTCTTGCACACTTTTGGTTAGGCTCTTTGTTTCTGGACTGTTAACATATGTCAGATTTCTTCTTAATACATTCAGAATGAAAAGAGCAACTTCTGTTTCTCTATCTCTCTGTGATTATGAATCCAGTTATTCTCTTTCTTACACATACTACCCTTAGTGATGCTGCTTCTCACTTTCACATCACTAAACAGAAACCATCATTTTTCAGAGATCAGAGGGACATTGCCAAAATGGTGGTAAGCAATATGGTACCTGGCACCTACTCTTTGAGTTATTTTAAAGAAAATTAACACATTATCATACCAATAGCTGTGGTTGCTGGGCAAGCAGTTTTAGCTGGTGCTGAAAACCTTGGATTCAAATAAATTGTTTAATGTTGGGTTTAGACCCTACCTCTGCATTGTTCTCAGTCTTTCAGGCAGGTAAACTGGCCTCTGCTGGACTTCACCTGGCAGCCATGTGGAAGTGGTTCACAGGATGGTTTGTCCAAGTGCCAAAGGTATACATGGTCCAAGAAGATTGCATACCACTGTACTAGTGTTTGCATTGCCTATGGTTTACATGTTCATTTCTTTTGCCCCTCAACAGTTTCTGTCAAAAAGGTTGTTCAGACTTTTAAATACTAGAAACTCCTGGCCCTGTTTTACCAGCAACAATTAGGGGCAAACTATATACATACCATGAGGAATGATGGTTCTATTTTATCACTTTCCACTCTGGATGAAAATAATCTGCCAGAGCACTAAACCACTTTGGAAACAGATAAAAGCTGTATATCAAAGTAACATAGTTGCAGACACATAACAGTTAAATCTCAACTCACAGAGCATGTGGAAAAATCTAGCCAAGATAATCAAGCACCTGAAAGTGAAGCTCATGCAAATATACTAGCTTTCTCTCTTCCCAAAAGTGTCAAAAACTTTTCCAGGGCAATAATGATATTCAAAGTATTTTCCAAAAGACAGTTGACATGCCTTGCACAATATTTTTTTTTCTTTGAACTTAACTGCCCCTTACTGTTTACATTTTCTTATTATTACTTGTAATTAGCACTGGTAGAAAAAAAGCATTCCAGTTATGAACTGTCCTCCAAATTGCTGTCCCAAAGTAGCTGCACCCAATACACTTTTGCTGATATTTTGACAATTTCGCTTTCTTTTTTAACAAGACTGAGTTTAGTATATTCAGCAGCTGACAAATCCCTATAAGTATATAACCCATTTAGAATTGTTTTCAATCACACATTTATCAACAACAAATTCAAAGTATACATACTGTAAAGAACTGTATGATTCCCAGAAAGATTGTCATTATTGCATGCATTTGTTTCAGAATATTTATATCTTGCCTGCTCTTAAATATCTGAGAGGGACTATCCACTGAAAAAACCTGAATTGCCTAAAACCTGATCTGTCTTATACCGATGTATAGATACTAATATACAAAGCAGCTGTGGTAAGTTACCACTTCCAAGGGGCTATATGGATAATAACAGCAGCAAGAATATATACTAATTTATTGAAGGATATAGCACATTTTCATTTTTCTAACCTCAATCAGACTTGCACCCACTGTGCCAATAAAGCTTTCTCTCAGGTAAATATGATTAGAACAGCAACCTTTGTAATCAATCCTGTACTCACCTACCTGGGTACCAGCCCCATTGAACCCAATGCGACTTACTTTTGACTAAATATAATAGGCTTCATGGTGAAGCTACAGCATGAAACAATTTGGGAAACAGTTTTCCATGCAAATTAGATCCAAAATAGCACAAAAGCCTAGCATATGTTAAGAACAGGTCAGTAAGAATAGGAAATACAACCTACAGTCTGTCATGCATGCTATCCAAATATGCTACATTTGCATAAAAAAGCCACAGTAACTGCAAACAAACACTTTCTGTTTTAACCATCTGCTTGCTATGTAACTGGATCAGCCCCTCCCGTTGTCTCCCTCTGCTCCCCCTTCCCACCAACACACCTAATTGTGTGTGTGTGTGTCTAATCATTTGGAATCAATAAGATAAACCTGCATATTCCACGCCTCAGCTTCAGAGGAAGCATTTACCTTCTGCTAAGGCTCCTTTGGGACTCTTCCTAAAACTTCCCCATCCAAAGAGCTGAACATTTAACTTTCCTTAGAGTCAAGCAACCGTGAGAACAGGAAAAAAAGTATCTCCCAGATTATACGCTCGCGGATCTAGCTATCATAAACTGCGATGACTTTTCTCACCCAAAACGCAGCCTCCTCTTTTTCCAAAATTGCAACAGAATAGTCTGTTTCCCAGGCACTACACACGGCAGACAAAAGAAAGATTTTGCAGGCTTTTCAGTTCAGGCTAGCAATCAATGGACCAGTCCACTCCGAAAAAAGGAAAGGGGAGGTCACGTCAGACCAGGTGAGGACAGTACCATTTCTTTATTATCTAACTGTGGTAATTTGCAGAACTGCTAAAAGCATTGCTTGCTCAGGGTACAGTGCTGAAGTCAGCACTTTAGGGATTTTGTGTGTGTCATGATCTAATTCCTTCGAGATGAGCACTAATGCTTTTCAAAACGTATGACAATATTCCCAAATACTAGTTTATACTTTAATAATTAGACAGCACATAGATCTTAAGCAGCAAAATGTTTTCCTTTCCAGTACACAGACAAAAGTCTTCAAATTCTTACCTGGGGCCCCTTGAAAATGTGTCCTTGATTGCATTCTCCTGATTAGCTTCCTGGCAAGCTGTACTATAATATTATGTTGCCAGGCCATTTAATACCAATTGACTGACCAATGTATTCCTGTATGTAACATTTGGGGTGGGGGATTGAAAGCTGAATATATGTGGCTAATTTAATTGGAAAAGCCACTGTGTGCTAAACAAAAACATTCAAAAATTAAACAAAAATGCATTTGGCATCTTTAGATTTCTCTGAGAATGAGGAATCTCAGCTTCATTACTAAATCCAAAATTTAATTGGGTTAGTAATTGGGTTGGGTTAATTGTAATTTCAGGCTTGGCTGTTGTAGTTCTGTTACACTGGGATTTCACTTCCTTTTTAAACAGTTCTAATTAGTCAAATTCTAGCGGGAATGCTGGACAGACATGAATCCAAAATGAACTCCCTGCCAAATATTCTTTTCAGATTCATTAAGTCTGCATTTGGGGCCTTGCACCTGAGGGTATTTTTAAAGCAAGATGGGGCAACATGTACGGCCGGTGTCCTCTTTGCCAGTTCCAATCTCTCACATAAATACATGCACAGTCCACCTTCTAGCCCCCAACTCTCTCTGCCTCTCCTCCTTTCACACACAGACTTACTGTACTTCGCAGGCAACAGCCAAATTTGTCAGGTCCTGAAACTGACACTACCATATAAAAAGCACAGCTTTTCATTATTATTTTCTTCCCACAATTACACTGAAGAGTTACCAGCTCTTCCATCATGTTCCACCTGTATTCTAAAATCCATCACAGGGGACCCACTCGGAGGGTCTTTTAAACCTCCCTGCTTCTTTGCTTTATTGCTTGGCTATATATTTATTTTGGTATGATGCATCTATCACACTGTAAAACCAACTTAAGTATGAGTAAGAAGACAAGATTGAAATACTACAACTAAGTTGATTTATTGGCCTTAAATTTTTATGGGTTCCAGAGGTGGCTAAAAATGACCCCCCAAGATGGTACTAATTTTCAGGGCCTTGCCAAATTCTGATGGTTTGTACAATGGTGCATTCATATGTGACTTACCATTATATGTTGGGTGGAAGAGGATACCACCACCAGCACCACCACATAACTGCTTTGCGACCACCTCACAAGGCAGTGGAGCTGTCCTGAAGGGGTCCCTTTTGAAGCTGAAGAGAGCAGCATCATTCCAATGGGGAAGGGTTAAGGTTACAGTAATTTGCTGCCGCGATGTAGCAGGAAACATTTTTCGGTTATCTTGTTATGACTAGTAAACCAACTCCTTCAGAATTCAGTAAGTACCCACCAAAGGTAAAAGAATATCCCTCCTATTTTCATTTGGGATGAATGCTGTCCCCCTCCCCCCCTCAGAAAATGATGGACAGAGATATTAAGCTCCACTCTAATAAATACTAAAGCAGCAGAGTTAGAAAGCTGGAGTAATTCAGAGGTTCAGATTAGGACTGAAAGATGAAATCCCCACTCAGTAATGAAAGTCACTACGTAACCTCAGACCTGATGTACCTCACAATGTTTTTGTGAAAATAAAATGAGGGTAGGGAGAGAGAGCCATGTATATTTCCTTGAGCATTTTTATGGTAAGGTGGGATAAAAATATAATAAATAGAAACAAATAGAAAACTAGGCATAGCAAAACAAGCATGCAAGTACTAGTTAATAAACAAATTTATGTGTATAGCAAAATAGTATTTTTATAGAAAAAACCTAGTAATATGTGAAGTTGCCAGGAACAATGTAGCACAGTGCACACAGACAGATTTCATTACAAATATGTAGTGAAATATATAAAGTAGTAAATTATATAGATACTCCAAAATCTTTACTAATGAGAGCAAACTTCTGCTTCTCTATTGATGTTAGAAAGTTCTAGTCTCTGCACCATGTTTCATGTATTAATTAAGTGGAAAAGGTTTTTCTTTTCCTTAGATAAGCTCACATTCCTTTCATGCCGTTGTTTCCTGATAATGATGGGGTTTGGCAGCAGCCAGCAGGAAACGAGCCATTTTCCATGGGTGCTAGTTCCTCTCTCCTAGCAAAACTGCAAACCTTTGTTACTATGGCAATAGCTCTATGTAGTCTTACCACGTAATAAATTCTAAGAATGCTTGTGTATGTCACAGATGTGTGCATTACTAGACATTTATCACTCTTTAATGAGTTTGTAGAAAGGTCCACCCAGCTGGTACACTTCATGTAAGCCAAGGGTCAAAAGAGAAAGCTAAGAGTCAATACACCTTTCCCAACAGATGGCTTTTCTGCTCCTTTGTGCTCTTTTGACTGAATGAAACAATGGTGAAAAAGTCACCAAGCTGACAGCTGTATGAACGGTGCCCTTTGCTTGTCCTTAGCAGGAACGTGTGACTTACAGCATCCGGATTCCATCACTGTCCAATTAATGTGTCCCCCACATTGATTTTAAAATCCCCTCTAGGCTAATGGAAGCTCCTGAGCCAATTTTACAGCTGCTTTCCTTGCTTTAATGACAAGCACACACAATAGATATGACACCTCTCTTGGGAAAGTGAATAGTAAACCTTAAATTCTTAGGTATTTTCTCCAGTGGGGGAGCAGGAAATCATCCTGTGTGTTAAGTCAAAAGAGTCCAGGCGGCCTTATGAAAGTAGAAGCTCTGGCTACATTTAAACATAATCTAATTTAATTCATTATCTAGCAATCTCACCTCAAGAACCAAGGTTGAACTATCTGACATATCTTTTGCTTTCACTTTTGTTCACTGCCCGGAGAGCCTCAGCTATTGGGCAGTATAAAAATGAATTAAATTGATATTTAAAGCCCACCTGGAGACTTGCAGGCAGCACAGCAGTGAGCAGGGAGAACTAGCATTCTCCCCAACCCCATTTGATTATTTCCTGGGCTCCAAGATAGTGGCAGATGGGGACTGCAGCCAAGAAATGAAAAGACACTTGCTCCTGGGAAGAAAAGCTATGGCAAATCTAGACAGCATACTAAAAAGCAGAGACATCACTGGCGACAAAAGTGCATATACTCAAGGCTATGGTTTTCCTAGTTGCAATATATGGCTATGGAAGTTGGACCATAAGGAAGGATCAGTGCTGAAGAATTGAGGCCTTCGAATAGTGGTGCTGGAGGAGATTCCTGCGAGTACTTTGGACTACAAGGAGATCAAGCCAGTCAGTCCTAGAGGAGATCAACCCTAACTGCTCTTTAGAAGGCCAGATACTGAAGATTAAACCCAAATACTTTGGGAAGCTAATGAGAAGGAAGAACTCCCTGGAGAAGAGCCTAATGCTGGGAATGACTGACAGCAAAAGAAGAAGGGGACAGCAGAGGATGAAGTGGCTAGATGGAGTCACTGAAGCAGTTGGTGTGAGTGTAGGTGGACTCCAGGGGATGGCGGAGCACAGGAAGGCCTGGAGGAGTGTTGTCCATGGGGTCGCGATGGGTCAGGTAAATAACTTTGCAAATAACATACATACATATCACACACACACTCTCACACTTGGGTGCATTCGGAATGGAAATTATTCATGCCAGGGCAGCAAAAATTTCATTTTGTGGTGGGAACATATTCCTGGTCCAGGATATTGTGGAACATCATTCTGATCTTCCCACAACACCCTCCCGTTTCTCACCTCTCCTAATGTTGGAGAGGAGTAGGATGGAGGCTCAGTTCACCTTCTTCAAGGCCAGAGCTTGCTCTCTAACCCTAGAGAAGGAGATCTGTTATTTCCTCTGGCCCTTTGGACCCCCTCCCCACTTCATAGGGGATGCCATAGGACGGGCACCTTAAAATATTATTAAAAGGTTTATCATTAATTAATTTAAAAGTGGGCTATCTCTATATCTACTGACAACCAGTATTCTGGTATTACACAAGTTTCAAAGATGATATCTAAAGGAAGATGATTAATGGATTAAGCAGATTAGAAGGCATTCTAATGTGTGTAAACTAATCTCCCAAAGGCCAACAGTGTTTCTATTCCATTTGTGAAGTTATTTCTTTCTTAAGACCCACCATCTGTAATTAGTCTTGCAACTTTCATCAGATTTGCAGCAATAAATTTAAATCTTATTTAAGAGATAAGGTGAGAAAAATCATGTTAGATCCCCAGCTGCAATCTGTACATAAACACTGATGCCTGATAGGAGCTGGTGCTGCCCCCTGGTGCACTTCTGCTATGAAAGTACTGACTTAATACAGTGTAGATGAACATTTGCTACATAATACAAGTCTTATTAAAACTTGTAGAGAATCATACTGAGAAAAGATGCAGAGAGTACACGAGACTAAAAATCAAACCCAGCTTTAAAAAGCCCAGCAAGTATCTCTTCATTGCTCCAAAGCAGTCAAGTATCTCCTTGTGAGAAAAATGACAAACACACCACAGATTTTGTGCAATCCATCATTTTAACTTGAGCGATAAAACGTAGATGGCAAATGCTTTGTCCTTCTATTGATTCATATATGCTTTTTGTTTGCGCCTACCGTCATGGCTAGCTGCAGGTCTCTTAGTGCCCTTGGGCAAGACACCTTCAATAGGCACCTCTTCGGCCACTCTACCTTCTCACTGCCATTGCCACCTGCTGCTGCTGCTGCTCCCTACCATTTGTTTTCTTAACAGGAAGAGAACCGGTGAGCAAGTAGCTGGCAGCATCTGCTGGTGCTTCTTCTTACATTTACCGTGGTCTGAGCCAAAGTAAAAGGCAGTGAACAAGGCTTTCGAGTAGAAGGGCAGGGGAGCTGTGTTAGGCTGCAGATCTTCAGCAGAAGCCCAGCTATATATACCCGTGATGCTGATCATGGATGTATGCAAGAGATGAGGGGCAAAGTGGCATATGCTTGTAATTCACCCACTTAACTCCATGCCTAATACAGAGCAGAAAATTGGTTCCACATCAAGGCCCCACCTGTATATAGCCAGTTCTGATTGCATCTCAGTTTGAAGTTAATAGTTTTACTGAGTAAATTATTGTCTCCCTAAAAATATGATTTGAAGCAATTACAGAAATCATGGCAAGTATTTGAGATAGAGGCCAGACTCCAAATCAAGCCCATTTAGTTGTGATGCTCAATGAAAAAGCATATATGTGGTATCTGGCAGATATCACGTATTTTGAAATTAGAAAATAAACCTAGTATTCAAGCAGCTTTACACTATCAACTTCACATTTGATTCTGTTTCTATGTTCAACAGTGCCACCAACTTGCACTGAGCTAACACAGTGATCTAGAGTAATCTACAGTAAAAAAAAAAAAAAAGGAGCGTTGGTTGGAGTAAAGGTGCAATCCTATGCACATTTAGACAGAAAAAAGCCCTACAGTTCACAGAATTCCACACCAACAATGCATAGGATTTTGCCCCATAAGAATTTCAACAGGACAACAGTGTAAATGTGTGCAGCAAAGACTGAGATCAGTTCACCAGCACCATAAACAATGTGAATTCAGACTTAATTTCTATATTCTTTCTGTATGCTTTCCAAGCTGATCACAGTTGTTCTTCTCAATATTTTTCTTTGATATCATTTCTTATAAAAGAGAGAATCCATGTTACCTGTGTTGTCTGCTACCACACCTTCAGACCCACTGTGCCTCATGTTTCTTCTCGCAAAATGTAGTACCCAGCATCACCTTTTACTAAAAAACCATGGACGGAATTTCCCCCCAAAATTGATGTCGGTCTGCTTTCACGGAACAGCATTATGTGCCTTCTCTGGCTTGACTTTTGGAGAATGGG